GTATAAGGACACATATGTAATACCTTAATCAATAAAGAAATTAAAAAAAATATGTATACTATAAAAGAAAAAAGAGAGAGAAGAACATCATGGACTGGCTATCTCTGAACACCCATTAATGGGGATCGAGCCCACAACCCAGGCATATGCCTTGACCTGGAATCAAACCAGGAACTCTTGATTCCTGGATCAATGCTCAACCACTGAGCCACACTGGCCAGGCCACAGCACTCTTTAATCTCCCTGATATTTTCCCCAGCTTCCCCCCCCAGTCTGAAATCAATTAAAAAAATATATATATATGTATATATTTTAAAGGTGAGCTATTAAGAGGGGTTTCCCCGGGAGGAGGGCTGCTCAGGTGAGCCACGCAGGGAGAGGCCTTGAGTGACAGAACCTGGAGGAAGGGAGAGAAGTGTCCCCCAAGGTGGCCTCTCACCCCAAGGGGGTGTACTTTGTGGAGAAAGCACCTCACTTTTCTCCTTTCCTTTTCTAAAGGACATAGACCGTAGTGGGAGAGGAAGTAAGTCATGGACACTGTAGTAAGAAATAGACGTATGCCCCCATGGCCACCCCTGACAGGATCCAGGGAAAACAGTTGGAGGGGGGGAAGGAGAGTGTGTGTGTGTGTGTGTGTGTGTGTGTGTGTGTGAACTTAGTGCACGTTCCAAAAAGACGGGCGGAACCCTCCATGGCTTGCCGGGAATGACCAAGTCCAGGTGACAAACAGCCGCTTTTCTGACCTTCACTGCAGGCTTCAGTCTCATCCTAATTCTAAGAGGCTGCCTTTCCCACCGCCGCCTGCAGGACAGGGTTTTGCCTGCTTTTCCTCTGAACTTGTTGGTGTGGAAGTCACTTGAGTCTGGAGGGCCCGGCTGCTGCTTGGAGAGAAAGGAGGCCTGTGGCCGCGACCGGCTTTGTCCTCCAGCTTTGAGGTGAAGCAGGCTCTGCTCATGTGGCTTTAAAAACGGAGAATTCCCTTGGTCATGTGACACTCGTAATTGGCACGATCTCAGTCAGGGCTGAGTGTCTTTGACTGAACCTGGGTTGACGATTGGAGGAGGGAAAATGATCAGAAAATCAGATTTTGAAAAGTATTCTCCGTGGCTTTGAGCCCAAGGGCCAAGCTGCTGAGCAGGAGTATCGGGTGATGACTTTGAAAGACCCAGAGAGGCTGTGCTCCCCGCCCTGACATTGGCTCCTGGTGCCTGTGAAGTGCAGAGTTCGGGCACGTTTAGGACATAAAATATCGCCGGAGGATCTGTTTTTATTGATTTGAGAGAGAGAGAGAGAGAAACATTGATATGAGAGGGAAACATCGATGAGTTGCCTCCAGTATGCATCCCGACCAGGGATCGAACCCACAGCCTAGGTCTGTGCCCTGACTGGGAGTTGAACCCGCCACCTTTAGGTGGACCGGACGATGCGCAACCCACTGGGCCACCCGGCCAGGGCTCTTGGTACATTCACAGAATAACGGATACAGTGTAGTTGGAAGGGCTCATAGAGCGCACAGGTGTATCAGCAATACAGCGGTTTCCTAGGGAGAGCAGCCGGTGCCACGGTTACCTTCTGCAAGATGCACTCTCTCTAAGACACGGCGTGGGTGGATGGCCGGGTTGGTGAAGGTGTGTAAGTGTTTTGTTCTAACCTTTGGTTAAAAACAGCCTGTTTATTACTTTCCTTGGCGAGAGCTGTTTGGGGACTAAGAATAGAAGCTGCCGCTCAGTACTCCGCTAATAGTGCTGGTGGCTCACGCGCGGCTACCTGGCGGGAAGGAGTTACTAAAAATACCGCGTGGGCCGTGCCCGCAGGAAACACGACTCACTGTAGCGGTGGCCTTTCGGCAGATCTGTTTTTAGCAAGTGTTTCTGAAACAAACAGGTGCTGAATCCTGTGTTTTCATTTGTATTTTTTATGCTAGAAATTGCGGGGTAGCAGCTCCGAGGAACGAGACCTGTGTGGGGACCTGGAGGCTCCCAGCATCCTCGGTGGCTCCTGGCCAGCAGGGCCGGTGGCCTTGGCACTGCCCCCCCCATCCCCTCTCTCTGCAGTGCTTGTGAGTGACGGGGCTGGCACTGCCCGTGACGGGGGCTCTTAGTGCTCGTTGGCACCCAGGCCCTCGGACCTCAGAAGGTGCTGGGTGCCGCCCACGGACCGGATGCCGCCCGGGTTTTCCTCAGGTGTGGCCCCCGCACGGCAGGCTCCAGTGCCGGTTGGCGGTCATCCTCCCGGAGGTCACCCCCAGAAGGCGTGGGGGGTGGCGGCTGTGTCTGCCCCAGGAGGTGGGAGGCCAGTGCCCTCTGGGGGTGGGGGGGCAAGTGTCATATAACCTGGGAGTAGACACCCCTCTCGATTATCCGTGGTCACTGAGCAACCTGCTCTCCTGGCTGATGGGAACCCGCAGGTCACCCGTGGCCTGGCCTTATTTTAGCAAACACACCTCTCCCCCTGCTCGGCCTGGGCTCCGGCCACGGCCAGTGCTGCCTGGAGTTCCATGCTCTCGGGTGGGCGCTGCTGGCTGGGAGGATGGACGTAGGAAGGAGGGGACCCCCGGGGCCCAGCAGGCTGGTGCCTGTGTGAGGCGGAGAGCGTGTGGCCCGTCCTTGGCCGCCGCTGCCCGCGCAACGTGTCGTGTTCGTGGTCCACTGGGGTCCTCTGGCCGTTCCCCCTCAGAGCCTGCAGGGGCCCCGGGCGGGAGACACGGGCCCGCCCTGACGAGGTTCCCACTGACCTTCTCTCGTCTGTTGCTGGGGCTGCCGTGACAGTGACCACCGACCGGGGCGCTTAAAACAATAGAGACGTGCCCGGCCGGTGTGGCTCAATGGTTGAGCATTGACCTACAAACTGGGAGGTCAGGGTTCGATTCTTGATCAGGGCGCATGCCCGGGTTGCGGGCTCGATCCCCAGTGTGGGGCGTGCAGGAGGCGGCCAGTCAATGATTCTCTCATCATTGATGTTTCTCTCTCTCCCTCTCCCGTCCTCTCTGAAAGCAATAAAAATATATTAAACAAACAAACAACAAATAGAGACTTATTCTCTCACGGCTCTGGAGGTCAGAAGTCCCCAAACAAGGACCCCACCGAGCCCCACTCCTGGAAGGCTCGAGGGGAGAACTCTGTCCGGCTTCCGGTGGCTGCCAACAGTCCTTGGCTTGTGGCTGCATCACTGCAGCCTCTGCCTCTGTGTCCACATGGCTCTTCCCTCTGTGGGTCGCCTGTCTCCAGAGCTCCTACTTCCTAGCAAGGACACTGGTGATAGGATTTAGGGCCCACCCTCATCCAGTAGGACCTCATCTGAGCTTGAGGACATCTGCAAAGGCCCCATTTCCAATAAGGTCACACTCACAGGAACAGGGGCTCGGACTTGAACGTGCCCTTTGGTGGGACACAGTCCGACCCACATCACCTTCCTAGATGGTTAGGATGGCGTTGCCGGTGACTTGCTGGTACACAGGCCTTGAGGGGGAGGCCAAGGGGTTTTAGGTAATGAATTCAGGAGGAGCATCTCGGAGGGGAGGGGAGGAGGGGAAGGAGGAAGGACCAGGAGGGGAAGGAGGAGGAGGAGGAGGGAAGAGCTAGAGGAGGAGGAGGAAGAAGGACCAGGAGGGGGAGGAGGAGGAGGAAGGGAGGAGAGGGAAGCAGCACTGCCCAGAGGGGGAAGCTGGGCTCCAGGGTGGTGTGAAGGGAAGGCCCTGCTGCCCTAGGTGAGCCCTGGAGCTCAGATGCTCCTTCAGAGGTGGAGGCAGCTGAGGGGACTGGCCTTTGCACCTCTACAAGCCCCTCGCTGGATGGGGCTGCCGGGAAGGGGTGTGGCCTTGGACATGGCTGAGGGCAGTTCCTGGGCCTGCGAGCTCTTCAGCTCCCTAAACGCAACCTGGGCCGTGGGTCTGGCATCCACCGCTCCCAGGCCCGGGGCCTTCCCCGTGTCCAGCCCAGTCCCATAACGAAGGTGGGCAGCTCCCCGCCCCAGCCGCCCACCCTGGTCCCTCTCTACCCGAGTGGGGAGCCCAGGGTCTGGGTCCCACCCCCGGAGCCCTGGAGGCCTTCTGGCCCCATGTGGCTCTAGTTGGGCTCCCGGCTCCCCGTTGTGCGGGCACTTCCAGGGCAGGGGGGGTGTCTGTGCGTCCTCTCG